AGGTTTAAAAATCAGAAGCATTGTCCCTCCGAAGTTCCTAAGGAGTTAAGGTAATTTAAAAATATCATTAATATTGAGCATAGTTGTACGTGTATTATAAAGCGTTTCGAGTTCAAATTGTTTGGTTTTTTTGCATACCAACCTACCAACAATAATTTATTGAATTTTTGAAACACAAACAGATTATAGGTATGCAACAGAAACAAGCTATCCGGTTTTTATAATTTATTTTTAAGATAATGACAGTCACGACTCACGGTTGCCGTTCACGAAAACGCTGTTTGAAAATTAGAAATTGTTTTCTGTCAAAATATTTATAACTATTACAAAGAAAAATATATTATTCTACATAGTACCTACCTACTTGTTATGGATATTTTGTACGATTTTTTAAAGGAAAATATTACGATTATTTTTTATTTGTTTTTAGAGGGGGGCTTAATAAACTTTTAAGTGGACTAAGCCACCGACCATAATTTCTAGCAACGGATTATAGGTAAGCTAATTAAATACTAGTTACAACGATGAAACGAAATCGCAAACTGAACATGGTTTATTACCTAGTTATTTTAATGTATTATAACTAATTTATAAGATATAGGACACCATTATTATGCCAGTAAGTATTAATTATGTGCAAACTATAAGTATTGTACATTTGTACCTACCTACAGAATTAAAAAAAAAATAAACAAATATAAGCAAGACTGCAAGAGTACCTATACCTACTACTAAAATGCTCTAACTGGATACAAAATTAAAGTCATTATTTCATGACTTGAGTTAATGAAAAACAGAAGCAACTAAAATATACCAACCAATGTTGAATGGCAGAAAAAAAATCAAAAATGTAGATACCTACGTGGTACCTACTAAAAATGCATTAGGTATATAAATCTTCCCGTATATTGTCTTATATATATATATATATTAATCTATAGCGGGGGTGGGCAATTGGCTGCCCTCGAGCCTTTTTTATCTGGCCAAAGCTACATTTTCAAATTACATCATACAATTTTAAGTTTACCATCTATAATCTATAATCTATTTAACACCAATTAAAATGTATATTTTGAATGACTTTTTTTGCATTCTATGCACTGGCCCGCTAGTTTTTAATTTTCTAAAAATTGGCCCTCTATAGTAACTTTGAGTTGCCCATCCCTGAGGCCCTGACCTACTTATTGTGTAGTGTCACCCCTGCAGATAATTAAGAAATACGATATTGGTACACTTTTATAAGTACCATTTTATTCCATGTCACTTCTCGATATAGTATTATTGGTTACGGAAGAATATATACGCCTAAGCATTTGAACAGTTATCACAATCAAAGTAACTGAAAAATAGCTCAGTTTGTATTACAGTTATCCATTTCATTATACATTTATACCTAATTAATAAATATGTAGTACTCATAATATATATTTACTATTTGAGAAATATTTAAAATAATATTTTATACATACTAATTGTACCTACTTAAAATAAAAATATTTAGGATGTATAATAAAATAATTTTATAAAATATTAATGTAAACTAGGGTGAGAAGCCAGATATTTTTTATAGGAACAACGAATTCTTTTTTTAATACTAAATGAAAGAGGAATTGAATAAATTCCTATTTATACTAAAGAAACGAGGAAATGCTCGGATTCCAATATAAAAAGAACGTTGACAACACTGTATTTTATTAAGTAACTGACAACAGACAAATTACACAATTATTTAATATTTTCGTTGAAATATTTATGTTCCATATTTTTAAACTAAAAAATTTAATCTCATAAATGACGTAAGCTAAGTAGGTACTTATTTGTATTCTATACGGAAACTAGTTGAATATAGTTTGATAAAATCCATTGAAATAGAATGTTTTTGAAAATTCCGATCGTTAAATGTTGTATATTACCTATGTAGTACATACGTACTGTTTATACTTAAATATAATATACATGCATAGGTAGCTGTCGCTATGTATAATATATATTATGCTAATTATCTCGATCGTGACGAAACGTGTAAAACCAGAAGTTGGTAGAGTATAAAAAACCACTTACCTGTCATATACGGGGAATTTGCTCGAGTTTTATTCGTACAAAATATTGTATTACACTCTTTCCTACATATACCTATTACCATAAATTATGCCATGTAATATTTCATATTTATTACTGGTTTATCTGATACATATTATTTTAACGAATTGAGATCTGTCAGTACCTATAATCAGTGTCATCATTTGGACCAAATTAGATACGTAATTTATGAAAAAATAACATTTTTAGTTACTTTGTTGTAATTTAAAAATGAGTTCTTGAAACTTTCATTTTTCGTATGCAATGGTAAAATATCAATTAATTCAAATTTAACACATCCATAATCTATTACAGTGACCCACACGACATCTATTATAATGTACGTACTCACTTACCCCGTAGTGCTCCTTTTTTTTCATTTGTGATTGTAAACAGACTTTTTTCAGACGCTTAAACAAGCACGTAGCTAAGGTGGAGCCAGTGAGTGCCTGACCCCCCCTATAATGTGTACGGCCCACCCAAAGTATTCAGTGAGACCCATTATCATACGGCGGCTTTTAATTTATACCACCCAAAAATGATGAAATTAGGAGTTCCACCCAACTAATGAATATCTTCTGGCTGTGTGCCAGGCGCTTAAGACCGGGATCCCACGGCGAGTCGAGTAGCGGGGAACGTGTAGTATCGCGATATTATGACAAGCGGCACGTGCCGTGGGATCCGGCTTGACGCCCATTTCCGAGATGAGAAGACCGACAATAATCGTCGGGCAGACACGCGCATCATCGACGGCAATAAGGCTCGAGAACTGTACCGCTCTGGCTCTCTATACCTAGTCTATACCAGTCAACGGGTAACAACACTAACAACACACTCCACGCGCCGTCAGATCCTAGCTAAATTGGGTTTTCCCTGTAACTCCTAAAAATTGTTTGAAATAAAAAAAGTTACGTACTCAAGCGTGTTATGAGTATATTATATTAAATTATGAATAAGATAATTCCCTAAAAAAAAGGTTTTCGATGGAAAATGATTACTATCTATAACAATATTGGGTGGGCCCGTCACACAGTAATTCCCAAATTGTCAAGACAATCTACCGCTGGGTGTGAGGTCCTCTTAGGCTGGGGTCATACTATCTTTTTTTACTTCCGTTGTTGAATTCTACGATTACTGATGCCGACGGTCACACGTTCAACGTTCCTCAGATTTGACGTCCTTTTGAGGTCGCCTACGTCCGATGCACACTATACACATTAAACGTCTGATAGCGTTTGACTCTTACTTTAAAGTTACTTAATACTTATTAGTCATTAGTAAGTTTTACATCAGCCATTTCAATTTCTTTCTACATTAAACTATTATTAAGTTAATATTAGTTTAATGGTTAGGCAGAATCTATAATACGACTGCCGACTTCTACAGTTCCAAGCAAAAATGCCTGTATTCCGTCAGTGGTTCTGCATACGAAATAACACGCATGATTGAATTTGGCTCTCCGATTGGCTTACACATTTGGAGGAAAAGCTTAAAATTAAAATTATTAATTATATTTTAAATATAACAATAATATTAAAAACGATAAGCATAAAGGTTATGAATTATAATTGCTATACAACAATAGTCTTAGATAATAGAATATTGGGTGATAAAGCTTCCAGTACGAAATTGCATGGACTTGTACAAAAAGAGGCATAACATCACCAACTTAAAACTCATCCAGTACACTTGCTTCTAGTAGAAACACAAGGATAAGGCGCATATAATAAACATGAAAATAATTTTATTACAAAAAAAAAATTCTAATGAAAAATACAACAGTGCCCAATAAAGTCTAATTTCAAATACCACAAGATATAGTTACAGTATTGGAAGGTTTAAAAACTTGATTGGCTAATAATGTAAAAAAGTTAAGCAAATCTACTCATGAAAATGTACTTAAATTTAAAAATAGATTGGATAAAGTAAATTCAATACGATTTTGGCAACTTCAAGTTCTGTGACAATACCATTACAGCAGAGATGGTGCAGCTATTAGAGTACAGCTGACTACAATTTCTAGGCGAAGACTAGGGATAATAAGAGGTAGCCAGCGTTTACCATCAGGTAATTCATAATATAAGACAGATAAAACAATAATATTGTCTTGACAAATACATTAAAATACAAAATACAAAATTGACCCATACAAAAGTAAAAAAACAATGATGTTATCATTATATGATATTATATTGTTATAAAATACAACAGAACCATTTTTTTCTATTATCAAAGACTATTGTTATATAGCAATTATAATTCATATCGTTATTAATATAATTGTTTTATTAAAAAAAAAAAAATTAATAATTTTAATTTTAACTCCAAATGTGTAGCTAGTCGGAGGGCCATATTCAATCATGGGATTTATTTTGTGTGTGGAATAGTAACATACACTGTCATAAGAAATTGCCCAAACTTTTGGACTCAAGTTATCTGTTAGTTATTAGTCATAACCAAAGGAGTGCAGACAGTACAATAAGTAGAGTTCGGAGATTTGGACTCAATTTTTCTAGAATGTGTTTTTTTGATATATTATTTGTATCCTAAAAGATAATTTAATAGTTAGGTACATAAGAAAATAATATACAGTGAAACTTTCATGGATACCTCAGTAAGTTTTTAGGACCAAACTAAAAACTTCTCCTAACTGAACTCTCTGAATAGCAGTTACCAAGACTGTCCAGTATTTAGAGGTTTCACATTGTCAAATTATATTGATACAGTAATTTCAATTCCAACTATTCGTTTGGGACCCAAACATTCCATCAATGAATACAATAAGTAAGTTGTGCCTGTGAGACACAAGTAATGGCGCTGTTGTAATATTATACAATATTATCAAGCATAAAAAAATCTTACAAGACGCAAGTAATATGCAGCTGATGATACTTGGGAACAAATGAAAAATACTCTGGTGATAGATTATTTTAATATATTTTAACAATAAAAATGAATAAATAGTTGAACGATTTTTATTTTCAAAATAACTTTAATGCGTTTCAGTTGTATAAAAGATTATTACTTATTTCTTCTCATAAAACACAAATATATTAACTGTATAAACATCAAACGAGAACACTTGAAGCAGAAATGCCCAGATAACTATATTTACTACAAGTTCAATCAGAGTTTTGTGTATTAATATTCAGAAATAGAATAGTTTCCTAAATAAGAAATATTGTCAAAAATAAACTTAAAGATATAATAATAGTAAATAGTAATGAATGTAATAGAATGTAATAATATAATGAGGAATAAAATATTGTATACGCTTGCAGTTTGCATGCTTGGTTAAATTGGTGGTTAATAATATTATTGGCTTATGATGGTTTGTAAAGCCCAATGAAAGCATTACAATTTGGACACGAATGCTTACTGTTCTTAAAGCTATCCATGCATAATGGCAGACATGAACAAACAAAACACCTAGAAAAAAGATGTACATTACTTAGCATACCTATCTTATCTTAGTTATTATTATTGACTATCATTTGTGTAAGTTAATTAATATAATTAACATACTTATGAGCATGAGTTGATTGCAAATATAAAATTTAAATAATAACAGAGACAAATATAGTATCATTTTATTAAACTCTGTCCCACGAGAAAAACATGTTAATTTTGTGCTTGTAGAAAGATGTTGAATCCCATTCATGCAGTCAACGGTCACTGACAACTTATTTGAAATAGGATGGATTCGACCAGTTTTCGTTATGGAAATGCATATTCTCTCGTGGAACAAGAACATAGTATTATCTAATGAATAATAGCTTAAGTGCATTATTAATTTCTATGATAATTAAGTTTTATAAGAAAAGTTATTATAATTTAAATAATAATATTCACAATGTAGTTATTAATATTTTTTTCTACACACCCAACAATAAACAGCAACATGCAACAAACAAAAGCAGTAGATGATGCCTCTTCTTCAACTTTTGTCCTCACTAATGCTTTACATGTTGGACATGTCAACTGCACTGATCTTGGACCCAATGGTGGTACTAAAATAATTAAATAACATGAATATAATAGCATTATGCAATGTAACTATTGTTACTCTCATAACATTTCCTTCCTTAAAAATATCATCTCTTCAAATATTCATTCCCCCTACTATTTAACTTGTTGATTTTAAAGTGCTTTCAAGTCTTATTCAGCATAAAACTTCTTTTAACATTCTTCTCTCCTCAATCAAACCAATTATAATATATAATATCAAATTAAGCAACTTATGGAATAATAAAATTAGAAAAAAGGACACCTCTTTCATCAATATTTAAATCCAGATGTACCTAAGCTCACACTTGTTGTTCTAATATTTTCATCATAAGTGAATGAATCATATTTACTTGGCACAAGCCTGTTATATATTATATATTATAAAAAGCAAATTGGCCAGGAAAAAGATTGTAAAAAAAAAAATAGAAAGGTCCTCATTTCCAAGTCCAATAAATGGCTGAAGAGAGAATTAGACAGATAGTCAGAGAAGAATGAGAAAATGGAGCAGTTTTTAATGAAATGTGTTTGAACTCTGAAGTGATACTATTAATAAGGAAGCAGAATTAAATACAATATCAATGGAGTTTGAAATGAATTTGAAGATAAATACTCAATTGGGTGGGTCACATTAATAATCGATTTAATAATTTTACTCATATCTCTATGTTTTGGCGAATTGTTATCAAATACAGGTATTCCATGAATCGTCTAGTTTTAGTTGGGTATTGTAATAGACTAGAATCGGTAAAGAGTTCAAGAATCTAAATATATCACTTACAGATTTCCGGATTTCCTTGGACAATGACCACTCGAGTTGGCTGTGGAGCTCCCATGGTTGATGAAGAATATGAATGGCCTCCGATATCACCCTGATTGTAGGTCTCATACTTCGGAGCATTCATTGAGTCGAAGTAAGATGGCGGAGCTGATGGCAAATCATGTTCTTTGTTCACTTGTGGATACATGGCGACTGTAATAAATGAAATACAATTTATCATGGATATGTTGACATTGTTGTTGTTAAGGGTGTCTCTAAGGGGAGGTTTCTCCTCAACGTTAATTAAATGTAAATATATAATATGCAATTAATAATTATAATCATAACAGTGTAAATTGTTTTTATTTCAAATAAAAATAAATAAATAGTTACGACTTATGGCAGTTTATAAAACTTACAATAGTATGACTACAATATTACGATTAATGGAGTTCGACACTCAATCGTGGTCGTTGCCTAATAGTAAAATATATTATCACAGAATAAAATATTATTATGTAACAATAATTACGAAATAACGGTGTAAGTAACGGTGTTGACGTGACTCACCCAAACAAAATAAAATTAAAGATGCTTTTTATAAAATTGATAAAAGCCTATCAAGGATTGACCGGAGAGTATCACCTGTTGGCTGTTGTGCGTACAACTCGTGAAAGTCACTGGATTACTGGAATGTTACGATTTACGATTAGTCAGTACACGGGCCGTGTAACACGGCAGTGTAGTACACACTGGTTCACTAAATACGCATATATATAGTGAACTAAATAAAATACGCCTGGCCCGTCCTCGGTGAGGTTTGGTGTGATTGTGTGAACGAGAACGCTGTTGTGAGCGTTGTGACTTGTAGTGGCGTTATCTCTTTTCCCATATTATTTTTTATTAGGTACTTGTTAGCTACTCATGCCTACGTAATTTTTTTTTGCGTCTTAGCCTGTCGACGTGTCGCGGCTCGGACTGCCGTTTTCGCATGATCTATGTGAGTAGCCATGTGTCATCGCAAATATCAATACGTCACTCCGTAAAATAAGATTATGTCACTCACTCGAGACACAGCTGCTCGCCAGTGGCTCGAATGAAATAACGATTGAAACAAATTCCAGAAATACGAATACGATAATACCTACGATATATTTTAATATATATAAATTATCGATTATCGGCTGACGTATGTTCAACGACATCCGCTCGCAAAAACTCATGTTTGGCGATCCGACCCAATAATAGAGCTAGGTATGCGAAAATAAATAAATAAGTAAATATGTGACTCAAAAATCAATTACAGATGTCGAGTACCTACTATCTAATCGAGACGGTTCTTAAATTTTGCGGAATGGGAGTTGCGTGGTTACAAGTCTTAATTCACTATTTTACTATAATAGAGAATTTAGTTAAGTAGTTCGTAACTTCGTTCTGAGCGTCATTAGAAACTATTTACTGATACGAACGAGAAACCGGAAAATTGAATGGGAACACTGTTGATTATTTTGTTATTATTATTGTTGCTGATTAATTTATTTCCTAAATAAATTATCAACAAGTTTCAATAATAATAACTATGAAAACATTGAAAACACGACATTACATTCATGAAGATTAGAGATATTATTATTGGTCTCCGTGAATCATGATATTATAACAATCGCTTATCGCAGTTACTAGTTAGGGTGTAATATATATCCATTATCAGGGGCGGCTCCACTGCTCCATTGACATATTGACATGGTCTGAGGGGGGGGGAGGGGTTGACCATAATTTTCAAACAATTTTTGTTATTATATTATTGTAATATGTTTCTTTAGGTAATTTTGATTTTAACATTAAACAATTATCTTAGAAATACGGGCATGGGAATGGACCACGGCCCCTAGCCCCCCCCCCTCTTGGAGCCGCTTCGGTCCATTATCAACAAAAATGAACAACAAACAGTACTGAAAGTCTAGAAACAATAATATAGTTGGAAGGTATGAGAGGTAAATCCTCCTAAATGTACTCAATGAGCGGGTTATGGGGGCTTTTAGTTCTTGTCAATACTTGCGCTATCTAGGTTTCCAATACAAGAAACTAATAAATCAATATTACGAATTAAGGTAATAATATATATCCCGCCTTTTTTATGCTTCGTAAAATATATAATACCTATTATTGCTATTAAACGTCAATACGTCATATATTTTAAATATGATATGAATACATGTATACTATACATAATATATTGTGTATTGTGTTATAACTTATAACTTATAAGTTATAATTACCGACTATAAATTATTATGATCAAATTTTGGAGGGAACGGATTCCTAGAACGAATTCCTTTTTATAAAAAAAGAACTAGAAAATAGACGAGTTCTTTTTGTCAAGGAAAAATAACGAAATTTTTCGTTACTTTCGAGTTTCAATATACACAAAAATGTAAATAATTTAAAATTAAAATATGTTTTTTCTTAACGTGTATATTGCAATTATAGTGATCGTTATCGAGTATCGAATTTAATGGTATAATATAAAATTAATTTATATTGTTTAAAAAATAATAAATTTAGATGAATAGAAGAAAAAAAATATATTCAATATTATATTCTTAATTTAAATAGTAAATTATATATGTACTTGTAAGTATGTATAAGTATAAATATGAAAAAATGCATTGATGATTAAATTAGAATTTTTTTTTTTTAAGAAACAATGAACGAAACAAATTCCTTTTTTATAAGGAAATTTTCAAACACTTATAGTAATATAGTTCATAATTATAAACTGTTTTATATTGAGTCATTAGGTAATTAATAATAAAATATAGAACCTACAGTCAAAAAATATCAGTCTTAGGTATATATACTACACTTAAACAAAAATTACTCAACTATAAAAATAATAATATTATATTTCAATTCAAAACAGGCGTTACTAACTATAATATTAGTTCATTGCTCAAGTCAAGCGCGGATCCAGAGCAAAGANGCACAATTTTTTGTTAATGTAAAATTACAATATTGGAATGACTTTCCACCATGAACTAAGATAGCAATATCTTAGTGTGTGCACCCCAGAACGATACGTATAATAATACATGTAATTTGAAATATAGTACTATCAGGATTTGTAGAATTATTGAAAAAAATTGGGAAATAATATGTCTGCTGGGGCTGGGGCCCTCGCCCCTGGGCCCCTGGAATTCGTCGCTGGCTCAAGTTTAATACAAAGGTAATGAATACACCAATGAGTAATAAGTAATAAGTATTAATGTATTATGCTTTTTCGAATTAAAATCAACAGAATATTTTTAAAATATAAAATAGTACAATTGTATATTTGTATGACACTCACGTGGACTTTTTTTTCGTTTGCTTCTTTTCCGCCTGTCGGCTGTATAATATATAATTATATATTACAGCCGGAAATATAATTAAGTAATTATATTTCATAGTCTATGTTTGATGACTTGATGTTCAACTTTTTCAATAGATAGTTTTATGCTGAATAATAAATATTAATGGTAATTGTTGTAATTTTAATTTTAATCTAAATTTATTTTAAAATACACACAATTATGGTGAGGTGTTTTGTAATAAATTGTCTTTCACATTAAGAAAAAAATAAAAAAAATTCACTTTTTACTTTACCAAAAAATCCAAATATTCGTAAAGAATGGATCAACATTTTCTCTAAAGTAAAATATGGTAAAGATATGTTATTAAGAGGACGCGACACCCGTCGTGCTGTCTCCGCCTTACAAACGTCCAACATAGTAAGACTGTTTTGCGTGAAATAGAATCACTCAAGCTGCAGCATGTAGTCTAAGTTAAGCAACTAATTTTTCACACTATTAAGAGGAAAACATTTACTGTGCAACATAATTATTATTTTTTCGATATCACAAATACAAAAAAAGTTATTCAAGTTTGAAATAATGAGTTTTTAAATAATAAGAACTCTTCTTGTATTCTTAATATGGAAAAAAAAACGATGTAGCGGAAAAAATGTTCTCTTGTTTATAGTGTGAAAAATTGGTTGCTTAGATTGGACTACAGCTTGAGTAGTTCTATTTTACGCAAAACAGTTTTAGCTATATGTTGTACGTTTGTAAGACCGATACAAGAAACGCGAGTGTCCTCTTAATATCACATATTGTGTGAAAGTTACATTTCAAATTTCAATCCATCTAATATATCTCGAATTCTCGGACATATTCGTATTGGAACCGTACTAATTCTGGAGCAACTCTAGAATCATCTACAACAGCTAAAACTAAAGAGGTTTAAATGAAATACTTGATTGAAATGTATATGTTTAATTGTTCTTACATTATAGTTATCTAGGTACCTACTTAAACAGCTAAAAAAATTTATCATTTTCAGGATTTTTACATAGAAGTTTAGAACCAAAACACTAATGCAACTCCAATAAGTTGGCAGGTTTGCTGGTAAGTATATTTTACCACACAGGTTATTCTTTTTTTTTAATAATGAATTCGCCTTTATTTATTTGATTAGGTGGTTTTCATTGACTCGTTTTAAAGGTTGTTGGAAAATTAATCCAACATAAGTTTGCCTTTTGTTGGAATTATTTTTATGAACAAACAGCGGTTACATTTTATTTCTTAAAATATGAATGTATTCAAGAAGTAAAAGCTGTAATTAAAAGACAAATTGTTTGAACATCAAAATCTATTATACATTTTTATGCTTATGAAAAATGTATTGATTAAAAACAACTTTTAACTGACTTACGATATCCATTTAATCTAAAAGGCTTAGAAAAAGTTATCACAATGTTTTCCCAAAAACAACTTTGTATGGGTGGACCAAATGTTCTAAATTATCCAGGTTAATAATAATATAAATGTTTTTAATGTTTATTTCACAAAAATTAAATGTGCTATAATATCATGTACCTATACAATTCAATGTAACATAAATAATTTTATTGAAAGCCGAAATTTATTACCAATAGAAATTCTATTCAGGATCATATAATCATGATTACGGTGTATTTTATGTGTTATGTGCATTGTGTGAAATGAGAATCCAACAATATTGGTGTCCTTATAAGTTACAACTACAGTTACCTACCTATGTTTGTTATGTGATACTATTTAATTAAATTCATTTACAAACCTATTGAATATTGATATATTTGTTTATTTTATGTTCTATTATATTTAATTATGTACAGTGGCGTACCCACCGTACCCAGGGGGGGGGGGGAGCTAAGCGGGCGTGAAAAACAAACAAAAAATTAAGGATAAACAGATTTGTGTACTCATAACTAGTTTTTGAAAAAAAACGTTCTTCTTTAGTGTAACTTATGACTCAACTAAAAAATAACCCTATGTATAAGGACAATTTCACTGAATGTTTATATAAGACATTTTTATTATCTTAACATTTTCAAAATATTGGGACTCTTTGAGCTATTTATAAGCATGAGAAAAATCGAGTTGTATAAGTTTTTTTTTAATTATTGTCGTATTCGTTTTTAAGTTATTTATAGACATTAGGCATTTTTTTTAGTTTTTTACTCTATAAATGTCAATAAAATTATATTCATTATGTTAAAAAGGTAAACTTGATACAAGGCTAATGATATATTGTTACAATAGCAGTTGAAAAATATTTAAAATATTATAGATGATTTATTTTTTATAAGCATTAAGCATTTAACTTTAAATTTTAACAATATAATCTAACCTAACCTTGCTTATCAAGTGCTTATCAGTTATCACTCAATAATCATCTATGAACAAACCTCGGAAAGATAGAGATAACTGACTTAAAATGTTATTCAAATGTTATTTTGTTTTGAATTTGTGATTATTTTTTGAATTTTAATAATTTTATCTTTTTTAATTGTGTCTCGGATTTTGATTTGTATTTTATTGTATTTTTCAATACGCTTGTAAATTACTGACTTTAATTCAATCCTAACTTTTAGTTTTGTATTCATCACTAAGCTTATAATGGATCCTGAACAAAATTTTGATAAATTCTGTCTTAAACGAATTTTGATGAATGATACACATCGCAAAATGATTGCTGTTGAAGGCAATTTTGAAGGACATACAGAACCCGTTGTTGTTGTTATGGAAAAATATGCTTTTGATGAAGCTTCTGTTTTAAATGTGTGCAACGCCCAGACTAAATTCAAAAAAAATGTGGATAATGATGTTTATAAATCACTAAGTTGTGTGCCACAATATGATGGTAAATTTAAAAATACATTCTTATATGAAAATATATTATTTTTTGATGTCAATTATTGAAATATTTATTTTAATTTATAGAAAACATTCCTTCCAATAAAATGGATATAATATACCCTGCGACAGACAAACATATTTTAAAATTTTCGAGTCAACCCATGTATTTTGTGCAAGAAACTGAAGAAATGTATCAAACTATAACTCTACATCATATCTTGAATAACAGTTTTTCACTACAAGTGAGTTTTCTATCAAAAATCAAAATATTATATTTTTTAAATCAAAATTATCAATTTTATATTCATTCAGTGGCTATACAATTGCTTAGAGTATAAATCAGAAAAAGAAAGAATAACATATGATACGGCTTCTGAAAATCAAAAAGATGATGAAGATAATGGCTTTTTACTGCTACCAGACTTAAAATGGTCCGGCAAATTGAATGAATTGTACTTGTTAGCAATTATCAAAAAGAGAAACATTAAGTCACTAAGAGATTTAACGATTGATCATTTACCGTTATTAAAAAATATTTTAACCAAAGGATCAGTATGTAACTATCTTTATGAGTAATTTTATGTGTTCCATCCTGAACAACATTTTATATTAAACTGTTTTTCAGGCTGCTATTTATAAATTATATGGAATTCAACAATCTCAATTACGCATTTATGTCCATTATCAACCATCATTCTATCATTTTCATGTTCACTTTACATACTTGATGCATGTACCTCCAGGTTTGTTGGTTTTTTAATTTATACCTTGAAATGTAAACTAACAAATTTAATACTAATCTATTCCCTAAAATGAACTATAATACCTTCAACTGTAGTATAGTCTCCACAATTCTTAAAAAGGAAAAAAATGTATATGTATGTTGACTGTAAAGTGAGGATTGATTATCTTTATAATCTTATTGATCAAAAAGTATGTTAATCTACAGTTCAATTTGTTATGTATATAGTGTTCAGCAGTTGTAATGTAACTTGTAAGGTATATTTTTTTTGCCTTAGCTCATTATGATAAAGGGGTAAGAAAAAAGCTTCATTAAAAATACTAATTACTATTGAAATTAGATGATACAAATTTAAAAAAAAGTTAAGGGGACTGTAGACTGCATACTTATTTTTAATGATGTAAAATGTATACTAAATAATTTATATTTAATTTTATCCTAAGTAGAAAATAATATTATTTATTATTATTTGTAACTTGCATTTATTCAACACATAATTAACAACAAAATGTACTTATTAATATTTATTTATATAATTTGTGCATTTATATTATTTAATAGGAATAAATGTCGGAAAAGCTCATTTACTTACAACGATAATTAATAATATTGAAATGCAAGGCAACTTCTATCAAAAAGCCACATTAGATTATGTTATTAAGGAAAGTGATCCGTTGTTTAATCTATTTGAAGAAAAAGGTAATACAATTATTAAACTATTAAAGATGTATTTATTTTTAATTTAAATGCATTACAATGTATATTTAATGATTTGTGTTTTTTAATTTATCATATTAATATAACTACACTTTGCAGTTGCCACTAATTAAATAAAGAAACTGGTATTTAGTCGATTGCCTGATGAATCTGTAGAATTTTGTTTGGGTGGATATTATGTCTATATATTAATTGTGTGTATTTACATGTGCACCTATTAAAAATTAATTATTTATTCTGCCAAGTGATGATAAGCATACAACATTTCCAAATAAAACTCATGTACACCACAATTTAAAATTATATCTTGAATTGTAGTGTACACTAATGTTCATATTTTACTTGTGTACAATGGCATGTCTCAAAATACCATTGTAGCAATTTGAATATATTTTTCTCCTTAAAACATTGCTAACAGTAGGTATTCCACTAAAATAAAATATAATATTTGGTACCCTCTCCCCGTTCAAAAACCAAATTCGGGTGGGAACTATTTATCACAATACTGCCACCTGTTCTCGTATCGTTTATTCATCAACATAATATATAAGTTATTATAGGTGAGGGACCCTCTAACCACCTAGAAAAGCTAGCCTTCAGCCCACAATTATTTGGTACCCTATATTTTATGAAAATACACGTAATCTATTCACTTGATTTGATTGAAATTAAAAGCAGCCCTTTTTAAGGGAAAGTTAAAAATGCTTTCAGTGTTCTGTGATGAATGAATTAAATAAGAAGTAACCACGTATTAAATAACAATTTGTATAAAGTTGCTACAAAAGTCTAAAATGTTATATACCTGTAATCTTAGCATAGAAAATTATGAAAGCCCTTAGTTAAACTTTCTCTATGTAACAAATTATCAGCCTTCCCTCCCCTACTAGCTGTGGCATCAACTATTAAATTCTATTAATTAAGATAGTAAATAATAAAATCAAATTGTTTGGTTGTAACTTTAGATATACATAATTAATAAGTCTACTTAATTAGTATTAATATTTAAAATTTAAAATTTAATGATATTAATATTTTAAACGATATGTTTGTAGGAATTCTTCGTAGAGCCAAACCTATTGATGAAATTAACAATGTATAAAACAGCAACTTAATATCTATATATTTTAAGTAAGTAATTAACCTATACTTATTTGTTAGATGTATTTCATTCATTGTTTTTCTAATTTCTAATTTCTATTGAAATATTTAATAATTTTTTCAGACTTCAAATCAGTCATTTACATTTTGTGTTATATATGTTTTAATAAATAATATTATAAAATGTATCAAAATTATTGTACTCATAACAACAAACGTGTGATATAAGCATACATTCTTATACTGATTTAAAATATTAATAGTTAATGAAAAGTTTAGTTAATGATTATAAAATTAGTACTTATTTTATAGTTGTAATATTTAAATAATGCATGATTAAATAATACATAGCACAATACTACAATAGTACATCCTTATTATGTCAAATTTTGTGTAATCTCAAACTCAATTGAAATCTCCTTGAAATAATTATCATTAGAATATTATTACAATAGTCAATAATACTCAGATCTTGAACTTTTGTTTGTTTCTCTTGAGTTTCGACATAACGAGAGTTTACTGTACTAATTTTACATTAATTTTGTATCATAATTTATGAGTTTATGTTCTTATGTAACAAGACAAGTAACTAGTAACTACTGCAATTAAATATGGTATTATTGGCTCTTTTCAATTTAACGTTATATGCTTGTAATTTTTAAGTATAGGAAATAATACAATTTGTTACAATAATAATTGGTAACAGTGTGGTGAAAACCAAAATATGATCTATTGTGGTTTGATTAGTATGTATCATACATTTATACCTAATTACAAAAATCAAAATGGCATAAAGGTTTCTGGTAGCAGCTAATGAAAATAGTGCTACTAAACATATCATAATTTGTTACAATTTACAACACAAAATTAGAAATCTCTAAAATGGATTTCTTTTAAATTTTATGACAGATAATTTCTCAAAAATACAATGTTATTTAAATCTTTTTCCATACAAGGGAGGTTAGCTATTCTAATGTTAATGATACTCCACTAATAACTTTTTCTTTGGTCTATCTCTGAATTAGAAGTAGTCAGGTAACTTGAATCACTCAAATTGTTCAAAGTTCCAAAAATCTAAACAAACATTTTTGGTTTGATGTTGAACGAAGGGTTCAGTTTGAGTTTAACACCATACAATATTGTTCGGTTTAATATATGATTAATAATTTGGTTGAGTTTGCCCCACTTCTACTCCAAACTTTTCCCGTTCTATATTAAATCATATTTTCTCAGTATCCTTCTTCATACAAACTAAACATTTTAGCTTATTAGAAATCTCTCATTTTTCAAACTATTTATACAACTCTCAAACTCAAACTACTAAATATTAATATCAATAATCACCTGTAACAATCTTTTACTTTACTAATGATGATGTTGGGATTTTACTGATTATAGTTTTGAAATATATAGTTCAATCACTGAATGTTTATCTCTTTTAAAAGTCTTTACTCTATTCATTATTCCACACAAATAAAATTTTAAAATATGATGAAATGAGATAAAACTTTAAATTTCCATAGTTTTATTGTGATATCATCAAAATGTGATATTTAGTTACTATATTATTTAAATTAAAAAAATAATAGCTGCAAAACATCAATACTTAGACAGTTTAATTTTGTTATAGGTTCAAACTTGATATAAAAAAACTGCTCCTTAATATTTACTAAAATTAAACATTTCAACATAACATTTTTTTTTTTAATCAAAACTCAATATTTATATAATACGTATTTTGCTTGTATAATAATGATTTAACTAAGAGAGAAACACAAAGACTTTTAAACAATATTTGTATTTAATAATTAAATACAATTAATAACGTCATAGTCAATTAATGTATAGTAACTAATAAGGTTTGTAGTAAGTAATAAAATTCAAAATGTTGTTATAAAGTGTTCAATGTTTATATTTTATTTTATAGCATATGTACTATGTTGATTTATTAAAACCATTTTAATTTTACACCTGAACTCAAATACTTTCTAGTTAGGATGTAATGTTTAAATTTGTAGTATGGAATAGTGCCTAATGTTAAGTAAGTACCTACTAACAAAACATATTTTTGTATTGTACTTACCAAGTTAGCTATCTCCAACCAAATAAATATACAGCTATATCAAACACTAAAATAAATAATACTTAATAGTAGGAACCGGGTTCCTACACATTTGGAGTAAGTGTAATTTTGTTTAGGAAGAAAGGTTAACATTTTATTTTAGCTACAGCAATCAATTAACAACTCCTAGCAAGTTTCTACTTAATTGAACACTATTATAACAATACAAAATAAACTGTTGTGTATTTACATTCTTTTTTGATTAAGAACTCAACAAAAAGTGCTAGAATGCACCACTGATCATAATTACACACAATATACCTAAAAAATAAAGCAGATAACAGAATTTTCTAATATTTAGTTAGATATCTGTATACTCTTTGTCACTATTGTTAAAAACAATACAAAATAATTTAAATGCGTCAATACAATTTTCATTTACTATTCATTACCTGGGTAAATTTTTAAGCAATCAAATATTTGCCTATTTGCAATAAATTTTTTTTCTATAGAAAAATAGATAGTATATTATAGGAGTGTTGAATGGACACAAAAAATATTAAATAAATAATTATTTCAAAAGTAAAAATTTACCTTCAAATTCAGCACAATAACATAATACCTAAACCTCTGGTGCTGCAAAAATGCATATATTATTGTTACTTTTTCAATTTGTTTGAGAATAAACAGTCTGTGAATAACTATTTCTACAATAACTGTATATGAACAGGAGATAATAACATGGCTAGAAAGACTTGAACAAGAAAAGATAAGTACTCACGTGAGTCTGAGCAACACTGTATGAACATAAGTAATTTTAATTGATTGTTTAATTATTGAGGCCTCTTCACCATCTACTAACAATAGTATTCTGGTTGAGTTTTCAATAAGGTATCGGTCAAGAAATTAGAGGATTGTGGATTGTGATAGAATGAATAACATCAAAGGAATCTTTTGTAAAGAATGGTAGCTGTTATGGTGATGATATTGATGATCAGGTCCGAAGAGGTTTCATTAAAAGCATATTTAGGTATTAGGTGCATTGGTTAATTGACGGAGACAAAGAATTGGAAGGCTTAGATTTTTTAAGTTAGAAGTATTTGCATCAGCCCAAAAATAACATGTTTAAATGTAATAAATATTAGTAACAAGTATTAATTTTTTAGCTTTTACTGTAAGTAAGAACATATTCAAAATGTATTTTTTTTATTGAGGTGAGTTTACTTTTATAAATTGAATACCTAATATATCTACTTAGATTGTAATTTTCAGCGATAAGTGATAGAAGCCTCTATTTGTATATGCAGTACCTATCTACAAAACCGTAAGTACTTGTTCACTATATACAAATGTATAACATGTGTTTGTATCAAAGGTCATTACATAATTAGTAATTACATACCATACAAAAGCAACTGAATAAACTGTTTCATAATTCAAATCCAGAAACCTAGTTTTGGGATTTCATAAATTCACAAATCACATTAGGTATTCGGGCATACCTTTATCGGTGCATAATCATTTATTATTTCATCATGGGTTAATTTTTTTTAATGAATACTCAATGCTATGTATTTACATTTTGTGTGTTCAGAATGCGTATAAAATAGAGATAGGTACCTACTATAAATAAGTAGATGTATACATATTATATTTAGTATTTACAAATCATCAGCTAATATACTCGAATGTTTTTAAAATGTAGATATATGAATGTATTTGTTCGAAAAGTAAATTAAAGAGTTACGAAGTCAAAGTTATTTAGATATTGCATAGCTTCTGAAATATAATTAGACTATAAATGTACAAGAATAGAATATTTGTACCAAAATGTTTGATATTTTCCTAAACTGATTAATTTCATACATTAGGGTAAAATAAATTTCCTATTTATAAAGTTACTAGGATGTATATATGAGGACTGAGGAGTTATGAATTATCACAATAACATAATGAATGAATTAAATTGTCAAATTTAGATATAAAAATAAATAAATAACACAGAAGTTATAAACCCATAGCCAATTATTCAGAATAGGTAGGTACCTACAAGGCGCAGTTTAGAATTATGTTTTATATTTTTTTCGGACATTTGAACACAATATTAATTTTGATACATTTTTTTTTTAACAAAAGTAAATCAAGATTTAATTTTAGAACATAACACGACCTGCTCTCATTTACTTTTAGATATTTCAATACATATAAAGTAATTTTATAAATTTGAATACCATACTTCAAATATTACATGCATTAATATTATACGAGTGTTGTTTAGTATAAACTAAAAAAAAAGTATTCATGTTTATTAAATTTTGATAAATCTATTAAAAAATATATATTTCAGTTAATGTAGTAAATAAATAATATCAAGATATCTTCCAAAAAATTGATTTTGGTTACATATTTACAGTTTAAGTAAGTACATTATTACTGTATTTTGTTTTTAGAACTATAAACATATTATTAAACTAATAAAAATGAAATAAATAATATCAAATTTAATTTTTTTTAAAGCAGCACTTAGTGTTATGTAAATAAAAAATACCCAGATGAATTTCAGTTCAATTTTCACCAATAACAAAATTGATCTGAGAATTTTTTTTATCAAAACTGGTTTTTTTTTGTAATGCTAACTTTAAAAAAAATGATTAGTTTGATTTATATTATAAATCTCATTTCTTTTAAATAATTTGCCTAATTATTATTACATTTTATTAAAACTCGTCTAAAAATATTTTATAAAAATAAAAAATCTGAAACAAGCATAATATAACTAATCTAGGCTATATAATCTACATTTGCTCAGTTAAAAACTCATTAAACACAATATCTAGACATATATATATTCTAAAAAATAAATACATTATATTTAGATAGTGGAGGTAGATTTGTTTTAATACAAATGTTGAAAGATTAATTTAAAAATTGAGAAAATAATTAGTCAATTGCAGAAAAATGTCTAGAACTGTTCATTGCATACATGTTGTACCTACTATTATACTAGAAAAGAGATATTTTTTTTTTCAAATGCAATGCAATAAAATAATGTAAACTTAAAATTGAAAAACACCATTGAATTAAAAAAAACTTTCTAAAATGAATCTGGTAAGGCACATTGTTGATCTACAATTCTAGTAATAAATAACATTTTAACTAAAAATATGAGCACAAGACATATAGAAATAACCAGGTTGTAAATTTTAAAATGGTTTTTTATACTTGATGGAAAAAATTATACTAATAAATAGGTGTAACAACTTATTACTGTCCAATCACTTGTTCATTTTTTGTTTTTCCTTTTTTTTTAGAAAATGTTGATACATTTTCTTCTACAACTTAATTCTAATAAATAAAACACCTATATAAATATACATAGTAATTGATTGATATATCTACTCTACTTAATTCGTATTAGAGGACACAAGGTCACACACTTAAAAATTCTATGATTACAAACATTAAAATTTGTTTTAAATTATAATAAAATATAATATTAAGTTTAGAACACTGTCTTATTTGGAATGATGAGATTTATTGAAGATCCG